CGGCAGATGGTCGCTCACACTGAGCCTGGTTCTGCTGGAGGTTTCTTCCTGTTAAAAGGGGGGTTTTTCCTCTCCACTGTCGCTACAAGCATACTTAGTGTGAGGGATTTAATCCGATCAATGAGTCGATGCAATCAACTGGTTTTCCTTAGATAGAAAACTTTTAATCAATTTGACTGTATAATCTGGTGAACTGTAAAGTGCCTTAATATGACGTGTTGTGAAGAGAACACGTCATAAGAGGAGTTAAAAGAAGATGTTATATAAAGGAAGTTTGAATATAATTGTGTTTAATTTGAAGAAGCATTCTAGATTTTTTAAGGAGAAAACTGACTGCCTTGTTTCAATTTTATAAAAATAGAATGTTTTTTAGAATGTTTTCTGTTAACCAGTGGAACAGGGACACCTTACCTTCTTTCCACTCACCATGGTACTCCTCCCCACTGGCATAGGTAAAAGATCCTCGGGTCAAAGTCATGGTGCTCCTATTTAAAACACAAAAAAATACACCCCTTCACATATAAAATACTGGTTAGTTGTTTAAAACTGATTATAGAGCAGACGCATTATGAGAATATTGTGTATATTGTATTTTGTTACTGGAACACATGGTTAGTTTTTCTATTTTTTTTTTTTTATATATACAGAAATAAAAAAGTTAAAACTAACCATAGTCATACTTTACAAAGTATTGGTTTTTGATATAGCTTATCCTTTTAGACTGCTTTAGTTATGTAAGCAGCATCCTAAAATGTTTTTCTGTTTCTATGTTTTGAAACCCAGTAAATAAATACAAGAGTTTGTAAAAAAATTATCTAAATATAAACACAGGCAGACCAGCTATTGCATTTATAACTGGTATCCTATTTGCCATTCTTGCAAACCTTAAGGGAATTATCACTATTGTTAAATTAATCTAAAATGCATTTGATAATCTTCACATATAGATAAATAGATAACTGTTCTTACAAATGTATTGAGTGCAGTGCGTGTGTGTAGAGCATATATTGTGATAAATATATATTACAACACATTCAGACAATTATTACAGTGTTATTAAAAAGAAACATGAGGTTGTTTTACTGGATGCCAGTTAGGGGTAATTCTACACATGCGACCGTCTTCAGATAAATAATTCATCACCCAAAGGCTCAATCGTTCCCATGCAATATTACAACCATCCAACTAAAGCTGTCAATGGATCGATCCATGCAACGCTCATAGCGACATGTTGCTGCAAAGGCTGTTGCCTGGACTGCAAGCCGAGCCCATCCAAATTTAATAGAAGACAATAATATCGATAGCTTTGTATATGTAAGAGTTATAGAGAGTGGGCACCTAAAGGAAAATCCTTATTCACCTTTACTCAAAGACCGTCGCCTCTGAAGCATTTGAATCACCGTGTAGGACCAGAAGGGGCGTAAAATAAATGAAAACAGTGGCTGATAAAACGGCTGCCGCATTCACAGACTACCCGGAAATTGTGATTGCATGTGGTGAACAACGTAACTCACTTTATTAATTAGAAGCAAATGATAAGGAATTAAGTGATTTATTTGATGTTGTTTTTTTGTTTTTTTTTTTGTTTTTTTACATTTGTCTAACAGTAATGTAATAAATAATTTGTTGTATACAGCTACCTTGTCCCATATCAACTTGTAGCAAGCTAAATCTGGAAGTCCCGACTGTTAGTGAAGGCAACATTCACTAATGGTGCAGCAGCTGACAAGCAGGCAGAACAGATGTACAGTGTAAGGGCTTTTTGTACGGAAGACGATTAGGGCCACTGAAAAAATAAAAAAATTTAACAGATTTTTTAATTTTATTTCTGTATAATATAAGAAAAAGTCCGAATTCTGACTTTTTCCCCCACATTAAACTGAAATAAAATTTAAAAATCAATTATTTTTATTTATTTTTTTTAGCCGCCCTACTCCTCTTCCGTATTTTCGACCTGGAGAGATATGTCAATTTTTTTTTCATCAGAAAAATCTCAACATTATTTAAACATATAAGAATGTTTTGTTTGGGATGGAGAAATCTGAACTTGTCAAAACAGAATTTTTATATGTTATCAATTTATATATTATTTATGGTAAATATCATATTCACACCTCCAAATATTTACAACAAAAAGCTCATTCACAGATTATATTATCCTCTATTAATATCTATATAGAATCCTTAAACTCTAGTTCAAACGCTAAAGCCATGCAAATTATAACTGCCCTTAAAGAATTATAACCCTCGAGCATAGATTTGATTTTGTCATTTTAAAATAATAGTTATTTTCTGTAAAGCCCTTTGTTGTTGTATATGTTTGTGATTATTATTGTTCTACATTGTTCATGCATGTTCTATTTTTGCAATTAAAAAAAGAGCTTTTTGCCATTTTTTTTTTAAACAAAATTTATTTATTTTTTATTTTTTGGTTTTGCCTCTCATAGCTGTCTTTGTTCAAACCTTAGTGAGTATTCGTTTTAACAAAAGTCAGTGTCAAGTTGTCAGTGCTGGTTCTGCTTAATATTGGAATCCTTTACAAGTTAAACAAATATATTACCACATTATTTTTGTCACACAATGTGGACAAAATGCTGTTCTACATTGTTAATGATTCATATTGCAAATGATTGTTAACTCAGGAAATGAGCATAATGACCAACTTCCACAGCATTTCCAGTTTACAGCCTTATCCTGAACATGGAGAATATGATGGAGACCATCTTGGACATCAGGAAGAACCGGCCTAACCATGCTCCACTGCTCATCAACAGCTCAGCTGTAGAGGAGGTCAACAGCACCAAATTCCTGGGGGTGCACATCACAGACAACCTCACCAGGACTATTAAGACCTCCTCATGGGTCAAAAGGGCCTAGAAGTGCTTGTACTTCCTGCAGAGGATGAGGAGAGCCCACCTGCCCCCACCTATCCTCACAACCTTCTACAGAAGCACCATAGAGAGCATTCTGACCAGCTGTCTCATTGTGTGGTGCGGAGGCTGCAGCTCCTCAGACTGGAAGAACATAAGAAGAGTGGTGAGATCAGCAGAGAGGATCTCTGCAAGCTTCTTTTATGGAGCTCCTCTCCCCTCCATAAAGGACATTTCATCCCAGTGCTGCTTGTCTCGAGCCCGTAATGACCCCTCACACCCCCACCGTGGACTGTTTTCCCTGCTGCCCTCTGGGAAGAGGCTTCACAGCATTCAATGCAGGACCAGCAGATTCTGTAACATCTTGTTCCCCGCTGCCATAACACTGTTAAACTGTTGAAAACTCTAATAACACTTTGTAAACATCATATGTACGCTGCATGGTGAATCTTCAAAATAGAACTCACCTCAATGTTTCTACTGCATTTTGCACCATATCTATTTATCTATTTTTACACTGCTCTGAACTTTACACACCAAAGCCCTTTTGCATCATGCCTCTCCTATACTGTTTACATTTTGATCATGGTGCACTTTATAAATTGAAATTTAAAATTTTCACTGCTAAGCTGCTGCTAATTCACTGTCAGAAAGCTGTATAAACGGAATTTCAATAAAGTTTGTCTATGTCTAAGTCTAAGTTACAACCAAAACAAACTTAAAGGAATAGTACACCCAAAACATGATTAGCCTTCATTTTCTACTCACCCCCATGCTGAACAACACTCTGGAGTACTTTTTTGATATCTCAAATGCATCTGGAGATCTGGGAGGCTTCTTGCTGTCTGCTGACATTCAAATAATGGAGGTCTATGGCGCCCGAGGCAGAAAGGTCCATAAAAGTCCACAAAAAACATGTCAATATTCCTCCATACTGCTCGTCCAATGTATTCCAAGTGTCCTGAGTGGGTAGCATCCAGAATTTACTCGAAACGAAGTCATTTAGAATGTTTTTAGAGCATAAACAGTAGTGTATAGGATTTCCTAAAAGCGCGCGCCTGCGCATTCACGACGCTACGGAAGCCGGCAGACCAAACCAGATGAAAGTGCGCATTCAGCTTCTGCTCTGCCGATAATGCAAGCGTAGAAGAAGAAATGTGCTGTTTACCTGTGCAAAGAAAGAAACAACGAAAGAAAAATGTCTGAGGACTTCAGTGTTGAGGAAGAGCATGAGTTCTTTGCCGAGCTGAATGCGCACTTTCATCCGGTTTGGTCTGCCGGCTTCCGTAGCGTCGTGAATGCGCAGGCGCGCGCTTTTAGGAAATCCTATACACTACTGTTTATGCTCTAAAAACATTCTAAATGACTTTGTTTCGAGTAAATTCTGGATGCTACCCACTCAGGACACTTGGAATACATTGGACGAGCAGTATGGAGGAATATTGACACGTTTTTTGTGGACTTTTATGGACCTTTCTGTCTCGGACACCATAGACCTCCATTATTTGAATGTCAGCAGACAGCAAGAAGCCTCCCAGATCTCCAGATGCATTTGAAATATCAAAAAAGTACTCCAGAGTGTTGTTCAGCATGGAGGTGAGATCAATAAAGTTATTTTTTTAAATTATTTGATTCCTTCTTAGTCTGCTTTAACACTTAACAATTTCAGTGAGGCAACAATGGCGGATTCACTTACCAATGTAGAAAAAACAACAAAAACACACACATACACACTGAAAAAAAATAAGGCAACTGCTTTTGGCATTTACTTAATCATATTTAGTTACTTTAACACAATTGTTTTATATCCTACCATGCTAACATGAAACAATTGTGTTAAAGTAAATAAATATGATTAAGTGAATGACAAAAACTGGTTGCATTATAATGTTCACAGTTAAACAATACTTGTATTTGTCAAATAAATAGCAAAATGTTATATATATCGAAGTGAATATTAGCATTAGTTATTATGTCAAAGTAAACCAGGAACGACAACGGGAAAAGTTCACAAAGTCACGAGAAATGATTTGGTTCCTATGTTAATGGAGGATGATGAGCTTATTCCTCCCTGCACCGCTATTGCTTATTTTCGCGGACGCGCGCCCGTTCACCCAGCAAAACGCTTCCTCCTGCCGTGCTCGTGCCCGCCAGAGGAAAATAGAAAATGGCGAGTCTGTGCGAAAAGCAGCAATGCACAATCGACAGGCGCGGCTTTCGGCAGGAACTTGACTCTTGGCGACACAAACTCATTCACTGTGTAGGTAAGGAAACTACCATTTAGATATTTCGCCCTCTTAAGAACTTAATTTCTTCTAGCAGTCGCTTATTTTCGGCGTAAATAACCATCTATTACCGGACCGACTCGGGGCATCTCCGAGCGACTTTTTGTCCTTAACTCTCTCCTACTGCGGCCAGTTAGTGTAGCTAATGAAGTGTAAGTAACCGCCTAAAGCTGTTTTTTTTTAACCATTTTTTTTCCTCCTGGGCCTCCGATGAAGCTATAAAGTACGTGCTGGCCTAACGTTAGTTTGTTTAAAGGACACCGTGCTTGTTTTAAAGGGAGTGTCAGCGGGTGTCGCGTCGGCTAAAGACGTACCCGTGCGCGCTCCTGTGCTATGATGATACTGTAATTTGGGTGGGGGAGGGCGGCGCTCTCTGTTAGTGATTGTCTTCCTCATATTACCACCACTGAACGTGTTCATTCCTTTGAGGAAGTAAGGAGACCCCACTGTTTCCCCTTTTCACAACATGCAAACTTCCATAGCTTAGCAAACTACTACAGTTTAAAGCATCTTAACCCTTTATTGGGCAATTGACTATTTTTGATCACTTGCATAGGTCTAGAGGCACTAGATCTATATCCAGATATTCAGCAAAGATACTGCTACATGGCTGTACATCTTATTTTGGCATTTGACCAATTAGATGAGCCATTTAACCCTTTAAAGGGCACTCGGTGAAATACTTTGAAAATCAAAATTTCAAGCAAATAGTGTTGTTGGAATCCAGGACAAGACCTTATTATCTTTACCTACCTTACATTAAAAAATATGGATATTTTCATGGCAAAAATGAATGTCAATGTAATAACAAGAAATGCCAAATTGCCCTGATATATTAAGAAAAATAACATAAGTGCTTCTATTAGAAATTCATGAAAAACACTGAGAGTAAAAGAAACATTTTGATACTGGCACTTACATTTTTTAGTTTATAAACCTAAATATAACTGTTAACTAGGCTTATTAACTTTTTAACTTTAATTTTGAACTTTTCAATTAGATTTTTTACCTTTTTTTTCTTGAATTTTTGTTTTTTACTTAATTTATCATTCAAGGGCTCATCTAATTGGTCAAATGCCAAAATAAGATGAACAGCCATGTAGCAGTATCTTTGCTGAATGGCTGGACATAGATCTTGTGCTTCTAGACCTCACTGAGGGGACAGGACTCAATTTGTAAGGAGTATGCAAGTGATCAAAAATTATAAATAGTCCTATAAAGGGTTAAAGATATACTGCCTACTGTAAATTAAGTAAAAAAAAAAAAAAAAAAGGTAAAAAGCTAATTGAAAAGTTAATTAGTCTAGTTAACAATTATTTTTAGGTTTATGAACTAAAAAATATAGGTGCCAGTATGAGCATTAATGCCTCTAAGGGTATTTTGTACAATGAATTTCTTACAGAAGCACTTTTGTTATTTTTCTTAATATATTCGGGCAAGTTGGCGTTTTCTTGTTATTACATTGACATTCATTCTTGTCATCAAAATATCCATATTTTTTTTTTTTTATGTGACAAAGGTAATACGGACTTATCCTGGATTCCAATAACACTATAGGCTTGAAATTTGGATTATTTCACTGATTGCCCTATAAAGGGTTAACAAGGTTGGCATGATGTTGCTGCATAGTTTATTTTTTAAATGCTACACAGGATCTACTATAGCTCCCTTTTAACTACATATTTAAGTTGTAGGGTTTTGTTATTGTGACGTATCTGTATTTCACACTGTTGCAGAACATTTAATTATTCAGACGCCTCCAATGTTGTAGCTCGATCAATATAATCAGTCTGATAGTAAGATGACCCAACTAGACTAGAGAATCATAATAAGTAAAAAAAATAGTATGTTTTTCTTACTGTATTAGAATCTAATATACACATAATTTAACCATCTGATTTGCGTATTTTAGTGTCTGTTTATGTGAATTTCGGCTGCAACTAACAATTATTTTGCAAATCGATTATTTTTTTCGATTAATAATTAGACAGCAAAAGGTTTCTTAAAGATTTTTTTATGAAATTAAACCAGGGGAAACTAAAAGGTTTCCACTTGAGGAGTTCTGGATAGAGCATATTGACAGATGAGAAGGTTTTTTCATCTTAAATGCAAAATGTTTATATATATATATATATATATATTATTATTTTTTTTTTTGCAGTTTTAAAATGATTTAGCTCTAAGTGGGTCGCTCTGTCAGCTAAAGGCATGTTTTACACTCTCTATACTCCATTTAACGATTAATCGATTACTAAATTAGTTGGCGATTATTTCAATAATCGACTAATCTGATTTATTGTTTCAGCTCTAACTGAGACACTTCCAAAAAAATGTTGTAGTCTAATCAATGTAATTATTGTAATTAGATGACCAACTTGACTGGAGAATCATAAGTAAAAAATATAAAGTTTTTCTTACTGTATTAGAATATAATATACAAATAATTTGCACATAAGATTTTAGTGTTTTAATGTCTGTTTATGTCATTAATGTATGACAATTCTAATCAGAGAACAAAGATAAACAACGGAGAAAGTGCAATGGTATGGCATAGTTTGTTTATGGCCATGAAATAGAAATATGGATGGATATGAAAGCAACAAAACTACCGTATTTTCACGACTATAAGGCGCACTTAAACGTCTTTTTTTTCCTCAAAATGTGCGATGCGCCCTATGGTGCGGTGCGCCTTATGTGTGTTGTAACTGCGACTTTTGAGACCACCTCATTGAGGAGATGATGAAAGAGTGGCTGAATGTAAGGAGACCAGGTGTTTTTTTTTCCACTCATCACCATCGCTGTTAATATGTAACTCCATGCGTGCCCATCTCACAGCTGATGTGAAAAACATGGGGAAACAAATTAACGCTGTGCTCGCTGTTCAACCGCTCCACATCGGTGTGAACCGGACCCAGCAGGTGCAGCAGAAGCAGCGAGTTTACATGCAAAGTCAATGGTTGACGCGCGCATAGGCGCAGCAAAAGGTCCCGCAGCGCGTTTTGAGCTGCAGGAGCGTTTAAGCATCTGACGCACCGCCAACGCGCTGCTGCTGCTCGAGATGGAAAAATTTAAGATTTGCTGCTGGACGCGCCGCATCAACCAATCAGAGAAGCTGATCTGGGAGCTGACAGCGAGACAGACACAGCGCTCTGATGACATATGATATTAACGCAAATGAAAAAGGCTGGATGGATGAGAAGATGATGAAAGGCAGGTGTATGTGAGGAGACCAGGTGCTTTTTTCCACGCATCACCATCGCTGCGTGCCCATCTCACAGCCGATGTGAAAAAAAGGTGAATCAAATGAACGCTGTGCTCGCCGTTATCCCGGGGGGTCTGACAAAGGAACTTCAACCGCTCGACATCGGTGTGAAGCGGCCGTTCAAAGTAAGGCTGCGAGCGGCGTGGGAGCGATGGATGACAGACGGAGACCACAGTTTCAGGATAAGTGGAAGGCAGCGCCGGGCAAGTTACGCCACCTTTAGCGGATGGATTGTTGATGCTTGGACTAATGTGTCTGCTGGCTCTATTGTTCAAGCTTTCGCAAAAGCCGGCATCATTTCTGAGGAGCCGCGCTGCACGGAAAGTGACTGACAGCGAAGAATGGGAAACTGTCATGTCTGATTTAGCGCAGCTGTTTAATTCAGAAACAGAGGATGATGACTTTGATGGGTTTGATTAATACTTTGTAATAAATACATGAATAAAGCACAAACATACTCAGTTTTGCTCCCGCTCTATTTTTCTACCTGAAAACTTAATTCAACATCAGCCTCTGGGCGGGTCTCCTCCTCTTCACCGCGGTGGCTGGCAGGTGTTTTTTCATCTAAATAATCTAAATCTTGCAGCTATATTTGCTGTGATCAGGGGGAATAAAGTAGTTTTAATATGTTTTTAAGTGAGAAAGGCCACCTGAAAACTTAATTGCAGTCAGTTCATCCAGATTATCTATTTCTGTCGGAGGCGCTCAGACCCCCACATACCAGCGGTGCACCGACAGCAGAAATCCCTTCAACAGCAGCCTCACCGCGGCGGCTGGCAGGTGTTTTTCATCTAAATAATTTACAGTGCAGGCACCAGGATACCGGCAATAAAAGCGAACATATTCCGTCGGCAGGTTTCAGGATTTTAAGTTAATTTAGGAGTAATCACAGCGCTGTGTCATCTGCGATGTGTCTGTCTCATGGCCAGCTCGCAGGTTTGATTAATACTTTGTAATAAATACATGAATAAAGCACAGTCATACTCAGTTTTGGGCCCGCTGTATTTTTAAAATACGCAGTAGAGCTATTTAAAGGTAGTAGAGGACATGTACCTGTATATAAAAAATGCGCCCTATAGTCCGGTGCGCCTTATGTGTGTGTTAAATACAGAAATGGGACACATAACTGAGACTGCGCCTTTTAGTACGGTGCGCCTTATGGTCGTGAAAATACGGTTATAAAAAATAAATAATTAACCAAAAGCTTCTTGTAAATCTAATTGGCAATAATAGGACAGACATTTTGGTTCCTCCATTGTTAATTTTTAACATATATGGTTAAACCCAGGGAAAAAATATGATTCTTTTTATGTTTTACGTTAGCTGTATTTCATCTTTCCTCAGTAGAGGAGAACATACATTTATTGTTATGAAGAAGTCATAAAAATTAAGTTGTTACATAACATTTGAACAATTGACTGTCCAAATATTGTTTAGTTTAATAAATCTTAATTCCTTGGTGTGTGCATGTGTAGGTTGTAACCTTTATTATGAAACCAGTGTCTCTGTAAATGGGTAATAGTATTTCACAACATAGAATGGCAATATCCTTTATCATCCCTTACTGGAATTCAGGTTTACCAGCACTCAAGTGACAGGAAGGCAGATTCACATACAAGAGAGAAAGCGAAAATAGGGGTCTGCAAAAAAAGGTATGTTTACTATGTAGGGAAATGTGTAACTGAGTAGGATAAAAAAAAAAAAAATGTGCAACATGTGCATGCAACATTAAAATAATACTTTTCATGCCCATGAGCCAAAAATGTCAGTTTAAATTAGTTTCACTCCCTTTCCTTTGTAGGGAAATTGGCTCATGTTATGAAGATGTATAATTTCTTTATGTACAGGGCATGCACTTTAAAGACATGGTGAAAGGGCAGATACTAAAATAACTTGTGTAGAACTAATGCACTAAAACTGCTACCTAGGTTGAAAAAGAGTTGGCATTAGTTGGCTTTAGTTATTAAAACTGACATTTTTTAGGGTTATTTAATTGCCTGACTTTGTGTTACACAATTTCTTTTTCATTATCACTGTGAATTAAATCAGTAAATATTATTCTTGTTAAGCAGACAGAAATCAAGGTTGTTTTATGTTTGCTAATGAAATGTAAAAAGACAGTAATTCTGAACTCCTCTCTAGATGGTTTTCCAGGACTGTCTAGTGAGTTCTCTCTTTATGATTGACAAATGTCTCTTGTGTTTGGGCTATAACTGTGAAGCTGCAAAGTACATGACAACAGCATCTGCTTGTTGCCAGTAGAATGGCATATTCAGTCCAGAACAACAAGGACATACTTTTGTTTGGCTTTTTGGTGGAGAGGGTTACATGCCACTGCCACCACCACTCAACTGTCCCTGAAATGGACATGTTGTCCTTGTGTTTTAATGTGAACAGTAAAACTGCAGGGCAGAGACAAGCACAATTGTCCAGTAGAACAGCAGTAACAATTGTTTGTATGTTTTACCCCATACACGAGTCAATGGACTACCCCCAGATGCAAAATGGGTTGCCCCAAAAAATGTATGTTGCGTGTGGATTTGGGAAAATTTGGAGTCCTGCAGCAGCCGCCCGCATTTGAAAAAATGTCTAGAATGTGCGTCATTCATGAGTGTTTAACATGCAAATGTGTGGGATTAAAGTTTTACTCAAACAATGTTGAAATCAGACAGACTGGCATTATTGTTGACTATTTTCCTGTTTCTCCCTCTGTGGGATTTATATTCCCTATTACCATCTTATATTGATCTCTGAGATCCTCCATTAATTTGTTTGACAGAATCTATATTTTTCAGGCAATGGCCTCTACTTAATTTGGTGTAATTTGGTGTTTCTATAAGTTTATTTATTCTTATAGACTATGTACAACATGTGTTCAAAATTCTATGTTATTTGAAATTATATAAGTTTGTTTGATAGCCCGATTCATTTGCCTTGTGTTTGTGATCGATTGTATTTGCAAAATTAGTATTTTAGCCTCCAGTTTACATGTGAGAAAATAGTTTCTTATTCCTTGCCTTTATCAAGACACATTTGTCATCTTGTGAAGATTTTATGATATATATTTTTTGTGAGCACCTTTTTTAAGTGCCTCAAGGTTTAACATGAGCTATTTTTTCTCTGTATTTCCTCTCTAAATGTTTTCAATCAGCTAATAATCTAATTTAAAAGCCTGTTTTTATAGTTAAAAAAAATCTGTTCCCAAAAAGTCCAGGCTTTTAAAATGTTGCTTTTTACATAAAAAGCAGTTGTGTTAAACTTTCCAGGCTCTAATTTTGTAGGTGTTTGGTTTTGCTTATGCATGTTGGGATCTACAGTAGCTCAGTGGGGGATGGGCTGTGAAGTTTGATGCAGCACTGCACACTCTCAGCATCTAGCATGTTCTTGCAAAGGGTGTAACATACACAGAATCCACAGCTCCATGTTGTTTTCTTGACTTTCATCATGCTCGGGATACTGAAGAAAAGATGCTGAGGCATGTTTCTTCCAATGACAAGCGAGTTGCTCATTGATGTTTTTGATTTAAAAAAGGAAAACCATGTTCCTGGGTAGAATCCGCCCCCAAAGCTGAAAATAAATTAAATAAAAACTGGCCTTTAATCTTGCATCACATCATTGTGCCGCTCAGGTTGAGGTTTAGGATTTAGGTGGGTTATTCTGGTCTTAGATCTTGAGGGATTTCTCTTACTAAGCACTGGTAGAACCAGCATGTTACCAATAGTACTCTCCAAATCTTTTTGTCTTGATTGGATTTAGATGTAGGTCAGAAGAAGGCTAAGGCAGACTAAACAGTGGTACTACTCATAATAACTGTATGAATGTTTCCTTATCAGGCTGCAGCAGTTTGTAGTTTGTTGCTTTCTGCAAGAATAACTCTTTCTTACAAGTGTGACTTTATTATTTTGCATAAGATATTAATGTGGGACTTAACTTTGTGATAAAATGAGTGCTGTTTTTTTTTTTTGGTAGTTTCATGTCTACAGTTTTACAGATTATACCCTCAGCAATTATTGTCTCGCCCAGAATTTTAACAGCTGACTACATACTGTAATTTAGTTTCGCCCCAAATACTATAGAACAACTTCTCTATTATCTGAGATTAAACATTGGTTAAATTGTCATTTTTGTTTGGAAATTTGTTAGCAGTCAGCAGCTTTTTGTAAATGTAACTTAAACAAGGCAAGCAAATGAAAAACTTAGTGCTGTATGATATATTACATCCCAACAGTCTGTTCACAAAATCATGGACATAATATTTAGTAGATTTTAATCTCTCTTTTTTTTTTCTTCCAATTTTAATAATTTTTTAAATGCCAATCATGTGTTTTTAACATCTTAAGAACATTGCAGTCTTTATTTTTTGATTTGGTGTCTATGACATGATTTCATTTCATTTAAAATGTATAGCAGCCTATACAATAAAAAACTACAAGTTTTTAATCAGGTTTCTAGATACATTTGCTTTTGCTTGCATCAATGTTGAGTTGTACCTGTGTGGCCTAGTTTCATGCCAGATCTTTTTAAATCAAGTCAACAAGAGCCTTTTTTCTCCTACATATGTTGTAAATATTTATTTAAAAGGTCATTTCATCTTGAAAAAAAACCAAGCTTAACCATAAAACGCACAACAAGTTTTGTATAATGCTTCAATTTCCTTTTTGAGTATTTTTTATTTTATAGATTGCTGAACATATGCAGTTGCAATAAATCTATCTCATCTCGTTTTTCCTAAATATCTAATGCTGACCCTGACAAGGTTAGGGTTTAAGCCGGCTCCTATTTCCCTTCATCCATTGAAAGATATTTCCTCTTGTCAAGAATAAAAAATAATCTTAATGTCAGGGAATAAATTCTAACAGTTTTATGCCCTAAACTGGATTCCTAAAGTGTAGTTTGATGTCATGAACCAAAGTGGATGACCCACTTTCCTTCTCATGCCTCTGAAATATTTCAGCAATAGGATTGGATAGCTCTCCAGCTGAAGTCCTGTGCACTAACCCAGAAACAGACCCATGCTGCAGCTATAGGCATCGCTACTTCGCCCCCCCACCCCCTCCATCCAACCCCTTTATGTTTGACTGCTGAAAAGTGGGTGGGAATTTGTAAGGCAGCAGAATGAAGCATTTTACCAGATGACAAGCTTTCAGAATTCACTTAAAGCTTTGCAAGAGTTTAGATGGAAAGAGCTGATGCATTTTTTCCTCTTCTTCTGCAAAGGATTTTGTAAGTAAGCTTTTCCCAAAATGTTCAGTGTTTGTGATTATTGTAGCTTAGTTTTGTCTTTGAATAAATGCTACCATCCATGTTTGTAGCTCTTTAAGGTACACTCTAAAGTCTTCTACGTCTTTTTGAATCCTCTATGTAGCATGGCAGACAGTTTTGCTCATATTTAAGATACAGTCCATTGGACGGATGTTGTGTGGTTATTCTGACCCTCTGGCAGTAGGCAGGCATTACATATTGTCCCGAATTAATGCAATTAGTTTTGTGCAGAAAAAAAACCAAACATTCCTTTAAAAAAATAGTTCAGACTGGATGATATTTCCTCAGTTTGTGCAAGTAATGTATTTCCATTTCAACTGAACATTTGTGTCTGAATTCCCTGTCTCAGGTCTATAGATGCATAATTCTGTATGCTACCTGGTGCTACTGTTGCTGGCTCTTTCATTTCATGCTATAGCAGCACTCTGAACTCTGTAGGTGCTTTAGTTGCCTGGCAACAGATATGAAAGCGTGTATTTACTGAAGTAAAATTGTAGTGATACAGCTCATAACACACAATTTCAAAACCCCGTTTTAAGCAGAGACATAAAGGCAGAGACATGGCTTTGGCTAAAACTATCACATACCAATCAGAATCTGCTTTGTTGCCAAGTTTGTGCAGATGCTTCGGACATAAATAAATACATTATATACCTCATGCTTTTAGAATAGGCACATAAAATGTGCTGCAATCAGAGACCTGTGGATCATTTCTGTCCAGTGCTTTATGGAAAAATAAGTTCTTGCTCTGTTTTGGGTTTATTTTTAAGTTGTAAATGTGTACTAATGGGAATTAAAAATGTCTTAAATTGTATCTGTTCACAGGGTTTGAGAGCATCCTTGAAGGTCTGATTGGTCCCGAGCTGGAAGAAGACCTAAAAGTATTTAAAAGTAAGTATCTCAGACTAGTTTCTCCATTGTTAAGCTGTTATATCCTCATGACAGTGCTGCTCTATTGTACCATTTTGTACCCGAGTACATCGATCCTAGACAAACCCACTGCCAGCCAAAGAGAAGATGACTTGTGTTTCTGTAATGCTTTGGAAGGCATGGAATCCTATGGAGATACTGGACAATACAAACTCTTACAAAGACAATAGAAGTTATTCTAACCGTTTTGAGTCAGAATAATTTTTTTTTTTTTATTGTTCTTGTATTTTATTTCTGTATATGTTGGTTTCACTTAGAATATCAAGAATTGTATTTTTGGTTGATCAGTATTTGGTTGATGCTGATTGTTTTAGATAATGTGTGATTGTGCCAAATATTCAGCCACTGAAAAATGTCTAACCTTAAGAATACAAAACATTTATCACAAGACGCTTCCATTATTTTATTTAAAATCTCAATTTTGTAATCCTTTAGAAACTGAAGGAAGTAAAAATAAAAAAACCTGCACATATCTTTTAACAGCCTGTCACCTTTTTACACATACAGACTCTGCGCCTGCGACTGATTGGTCATTTGATGAAAACTGTCTGTTCTGCTGTTTGAGGAGGGATAAAGTCAAGGTAAGAACAATTTTTTTTCCCATTTTGTTTATTTGGGAGGACATTTGTGAAGCTCCGACATACTGAGACTGTAGCATAAAGCAATTTCATTTGGTCTCCTTGTTTTGGTGATCCTGTTCTCAGTGGGGACTGTTTACAGATAAATCTTAGATCTTTTTATTTTTTGGTCATCTACACATTTTTGACTCTAAAGGAACCCACCTTTTTTGTAAAAAGTCTCCTTTAAGGAACCTTTGTCTGTCTGGTTATTAATCGATTAGCTTAAAATATTCCTCCTCGCTAACATCAAAATTAAAATGCACTTTTGTTTGTAATACCAAGTTGGTTAGGTTTGGTGAATTCACTCATCACAAAGAGAGGATTTCTAAGGTTTTTTACTTATCAGACTTGTCAAACTTAAGTTCACCAGATTCTTGAAACCATAATTCATGGCTTTGTTTTGTATTTTCTCCATGATGACATGTCTTTTACCTTTGGAGCAAATTCATTAAATCTGACTTATATTCCAATGTGAATTATTTATATATACATGCTTAATTTATAAACAATTTGATAAGTGCTGAGCAGGTGATATTGCACTTTACGCTCCCTAATTCATCATGAAATTATGTTAATATGATCCCATTATAAAGTCCCTATTTTTCTGAGTAGAATGCATATGATTTTTATGATAAACTTTTTTTATTTAATTTTTTTATTTTAAACAGGAACACCTGTTTGGTCTCAACAAGGAGCGTCTTGAAGATACACCTAAACCTCTCCTAGTTAAAGATCAGATTAGAATCATCAGGCTAGAGAAGAAGGCTGAGGAGTTTCTCAAAGCAGTTCTTTGCAGAAAAGGTATGTTAGCATGTCTTGTTTATATTTTTGCTGTGTTAAGTACTTTCCTGTTGTGGTTCTACTGAATAAGTCGGTTAAATGTTGATATTATTACTTCAAAATTGTTTAAGAACAGTTAGCATTATTTCAGGCATGTTTGCCGATAAAGACCTGGAAAATATGTCCATGCTGAAAGGTTTTTACCTCTGTGTTGCAGATGTGCCAAATTTCTCAGAACCACACATTCCATTAGTGGCTCGAGAGATTCTTCAGAGAATGATCAGCCAGTTTGCAGCCGAATATACCTCAAAAACCAGCTCTCCTCAGGGCAGTAGCTCAGACTCTCCACCTCAGTCTGACCAAAGCCGACCGGCTCCACGCCCCCTGCCGGCTGGGACTCCTTCTGTTAGCCCTGCTGACATCCTTAGTGTGCCGGCACAAAACCAGAACCCAGTTCTGAGCAAGCTTCTCATGGCTGACCAGGAGGCTCCCTTAGACCTCACCATCAAGAGGCCTGCTACAGAGCCCCATGAACAAGGTACTTTGAAAGTTTAGGGCTAAAACAATTCATTGGATTAATCGATTGTTAAAGAGTATCTAAAACGTACCTATAGCAACAGAGCAACTTACTTAGAGCAGTCATTATACCAAATTTCTTAAGCATCTTTGTAAACATTTTGTATTTATCATTTAAAAAAAAGTTTTTTCTGTAAATATGGTCCATTCAGAACTCCTGGTTTAATTTTGTAAAAAATCTTATTTAAGGAACCTTTGGCTATCTGATTATTAATGGATTTATCGGGAAAATTGTCAACAGATTAATCGATTTGCAAAATAATAGTTAGTTGCAGCCACAGACCGGTTAGTTATCAGTTATCTTTAATTGTGAAGTTTAAGATGACCTTTATTAATAAATATTTATTTATTTTTTCATAGATGGAGTTCTTGACTTATCCATTAAAAAGAATCGCTATAGCAACAGCAGCAGCATATCTGCCCACAGTCTCTGCTCTTCTCCAGCTGTGTCCACGCTGAAGTGGTAAGAATGTTTCATTTTTTTCAGGTTCTACTAAGGACAAGTGCTCTATATATATTTCTTTCCTGATTGTAAAACGTCTAGAAAGAGTTAAACTGGGCTATGTCGTGACATAAGCCAAATACTGAGCTGGTTTGACTAAAATTGTAGGAGCAGAAAGGATCTGCTCCCTTAAACATCAACAACATCATGTGAAGATATCTTAATCTGAGGGAATTGTCTGTAAGGATGATATTTTTTTACGACCTTTTTGAAATTTAGGAAATTTGATACTGAATTGTATGGGAAGTCACTGAAATGGTCTTTAGTCTAAAGCCCCATTCGCGCGAGATCTGTCCGAGCATGGTAACCAAGATAACTGTTGAGTGTAATTGGCACACAAAACTGAACCGGACCGTGCCAGAAACAGTCAAACCATGCTAAACTAGTTCTAGTTCAACAGTAGGGCTCGGTCTACCTTGCCACACGACTTCCAGTGATGATTCTACTTAGCAGTGTGATGAACCTCAACGTCTATCGTTGTTTCCTGCATCTTTAAGTCCCGATTAGACTATCGTTTGTCGTATCCACTTCCCAAAAGCGGAATCTATCAAGTAAATTCACCAAAGGCTTCTTCGCCTGACTCTCCGCAAACAACGAAATATCACAATTATAACCAAACTTCCAGAATATTACGTGCGCTGCCATGTTGATTTGCTTGAATCCCTCTATAGAGCAGTAGTACCGTAGACTGTCACTAAGAGGCGCTTAACCGTGCTCGCTTGACATGTAAACGGTCATAAGGAACTGACCTTGGCACGGTTAACTGATCCAAACACGGATCTGTTTCAGACGGGTAGTGTAAATGGGGTCTAAGGGTTAGTTTACTTTGGTCAATGTTTTGTGCCAAAACTTTTGGCTGACACATCATTGTTGTTGACTGTTGGACTTGCAGACATGCAAAAAAATTTAAATCTGAGTGAAATGTTTTTGGGGGGGAAATCACATGCTGTTAGTGGATTTCAGATTCTTGATAAAAAGTAAACCTCATTATTTTCATGCATTTTGAGAATTGCCTCAAACTCGGTCAATTCCTATAATTGATTTTATCAAGCATATGGGGTGGTGAGTTCATTTTTTATATCAATTCAATATAACAATAAATTGAACTAAAAGAGATTATGTTGACTGTATTATTTCACAATTTGCTTTCATTAGTGAAATAGTTCCCTTGTGTCAAATTGATTGAATTTTCAACTTAATCTATGCAGCCAAATCCTATGGAAAAGGCTCAGGGTGACTTGGAACTCCAACCTTTCACTGAGCACCTTCTAAAAAACATCAAACAAAACTCACAGAGGGGGTGGTTAGATCTTGAGCTGTCATGGAGACACATGGTTCCTTGAGCTGGACAATCTAATCCAGCTAACATCATCCATCACCATGTACCAACAGGATCCCTTATCCCCACTGGCCATGTTACGTATGCCTTTATGTAATATTTATGGACATGTGCGATTCTCTACACCTTGTCCACCTGATTTATTGTCACATTTTATTCGTTTGGAAATGCTGATTAGCGACCTTTTTATGTTAGAATCTTAACTCTCCTTGAGAACACAAATAGATTTTAAGCTGACTGGCGCCTGCGATGGACTGGTGACCTGTCCAGGGTGTACCCCGCCTCTCGCCCATTGACAGCTTGAGATAGGCACAAGCACCCCTCGCGACCCCACTTGGGAGTAAGCATGTTAGAAAATGGATGGATGGGCGCACAGGACCAATGAGTATTAACATGTCATAAACAGGGCTATTTCCATCATTTTTTAGCAGTGTTATGGTTTTCTTGAGGATGAATGTGATTCTTTTTTATCATTCAGTTTTAAATAATACAAGCTCAAACGCAAGGAAAAGCTTCAGGTCTTCTTTTTTTCCTTTAGAATATAGCAGAACTAAAAGGTGCTAAAATGACAATATCTATTTGTTACTTAACTGCAGTGATTAAAGCTTAAAGGCTTGGTTGAAGGCAGTGCTACATAATACACAAAGTGAATTTCTTTTTTTACAAAACCTTAATTTAATCATCATTTCGGATTGAAGTCAGAAAAATATTGATAATTAAGGTTGACCGACACTGATATGGGCTGCTTGCATCCTCTCATTTTTCTGGTTGAACATGTTGAGCCACATGAACGAATTGCAAATAAAAAGAATTTCAATACTTTTATTTTGCTTATGTTTAAATATTTCTTTAATACCATATTATTCTTCAGAACTTGTTAAGAGCTATTCTAGAAAACAAATAAACTAAGAATCGGGAGCCATTTTAGTGCTGAAATGTAAATATTTTGTGGTCATTGATTTTAAACAATGTCAAATGATAAAGGAATGGCCAACTTCCCCCTCCCTCCCCACAACCCATCCACCTGTAGAAAGATAAAAGGGCACTGTGCCAGCTCCGCTTACATCCAATCTCCTTCCATCCAATCAGGCCGTCGTTGAGAGAGGACGGACAAGTCGGGCTGTTAATGAAGAACCTACAGAATGGGAGGAAGAGGGAGAATATCGGCCATTCTGCCTGTTCTAAGCCTACCTCATCACTTGCATACTCGCTGCACATCAAAAAGGAGCCCAAACTGGACAGCGACCCCGAGTCACCACTTAGCCAAAACCACAGGTCCGACCACACCGGGCTTCTCAGAAATGCTTCTTCCTCCTGGAATTGCAAAACCAATTTTGGAGCCCTGCTTAAACTCAAAACCAGGGATGAAGCTAATGAGCACTTTAAAGATATGCCACAACTTTTGGAAGCTGCTGGACTTTTGTCCAATGCACTTTCTACTGAGAAAAAATATTTAAAGGAGGAAAGCAAAAATCAAGAGCATTCGCTTTCCCGCTTACAGTCTTTTGACATCAAGATTCCTCAGGTGCGGGTTTTAACCACAGGATCAGAGCCTTCTATGCCTTCTGAATATTTAGGCCCAGTCAGTGAAAATGTTGTTGCGAAGAAACTCTGTTCCATACTCCCCAGACGGATCCAAAAAAGGAGCAGTGGGGGATCTAACAGTTCAGGGTCTGACAAGGACTGCTGGTCTTTTCCCACTGACCACCAAGCATCTGCTGGGAATTGTTCTGTTGACACTGAGCCAGATCCGGGAAATAAGCTGCCCAGGAAAAAGCGGGGACGATATCGACAGTACAACACCGAGCTTCTGGAAGAGGCTATAGTGGTGGTGATGGGTGGGAAAATGAGCGTGTCCAAAGCCCAATCCGTCTATGGGATACCACACAGTACCCTAGAATACAAGGTTAAAGAGCGGCTGGGAACCTTGAAACACCCCCCTAAAAAGAAAATGAAGCTCACCAGTAATATGCCTCCTGAAGGAGGAGAGATCCAAAAAAATGAAGAAAAAAATAGAAGCCATCTGAAGAGAAATGAGCCGATTTAGACAAAGTCCACAAAGTAATTTATCTTTAACTAACAGTGAAACACTTTTTATTAACCAGTGCATCTGCTACACCATGCAGCGCTTTGGTTTTCCTCAAAACCTCAATAGCTGTATTTATTTTGGATTTATTTATATTATCTAAACTCCTGGCAGTTTGTATTTACGATGTTCTAATATATAAGGGCCTCTTATCAGTACAGGTACATTTGGAATACACTACATTATTTATTTATTCACGTTCTTGTTGTTCTGTAAAGAAGTATTAAATGATAAGGGGGATCTGTGCGCTGCCAAAGACGACTTACAGCACATGACGAACCCTTGGAGTCTGGCGCCCCTCTGTGTTTCCTCTCAGAAGTTTAATATCTTCAAAGTAAAAGTTTATTTAAGTAATCCGTGAATGGCCATAAAGAATATTGTAACACACAAATAAATCCCTTATGTAATTATAAGACAAAAAAATGCTAACATTATTTATCCATTTAATTATAAATATAGTAAGATATTTTATTTGTAATTATACTCTAGGAAGATAGATTAGGATTTTAATCTTCCTCTTCCAGTCCTAACGTATTTCTCCAAGCATTACTCTTTAACATCTATAACTCATATTTCAGTTAAACTTTTTTTTTTTATGAATTTGCTGCATTAATTGAGATTAATTGAGACTGTCGCTGTGCTCAAAGAAAACATTTCTTAGTGTTTCAGTGTCTCATTATCATAATACCTCATCTTCACTACGGCCTGTCATATATTTACATTAAACAAGTTTCTCCTTTTTGAGAGAAGACTTCACAGACTAACTTGAGTGGTAAACAGTAGCACAGCGGTTCAAGTGAAGGTCTTGAGTTCTGTGTGATTTATAGTTGCATCTGTGAGACACTACCTGGCCTTTTAAAAGCAAATAGAAAAAGCTGAATTTCTATTTTTACAATAATGGCAAAACGTTCTATATTTTGTATGTATAGCTGCAAGCTCAGGTGTTTATAGCATATTCCCACAAGACATCACACCTCCATGTACCCTCCTGCCACTGTGGTATTACAACGAAGCAGCTTTCTATTACATAGATTGCACATAAGAGAACCATGATGGTTGTATATTGTTTGGTTTCAGGGTGTAAATACGAAGGTGATAAACTGGTAAACTTTTTTTTCCATTACATCTCGAGTATCAGAGGAAGTAAAGATGAGCAAACAATGAGTAGAAAATAAACACCTAGTTATTTATTTCTAGTAAAAACTGTCCTAAGATTACAAGTTTAAGTTTTATACCAATTTTTAAGACTTAGAATAAAAAACACACAATAATTTAAGCATATATCAGTTACTTTCATAGAAACATAACACTGTTTACTTACCCTACCTATGATGAGAATCTATTTTCTATAGTCTCATTTAGCATGACCACAAATGCATGTCTTTTAGGTCAAACCTTTTAAACAGCTTTGGTCATTTAAATGCTAAAAATAATATCTTTTATTCTTTGGAAAACTCTTGATCTAGGTCAGTTCAAGGAGTCTATCTATTTTCAACTCATGGTACAAATTCTCAGTTGCATTTAGGTCTGGATCTTAAGGTAATTTCTAATGCAAAAAAAAATCTCAATCCAAACGATACCACTCTAACACTTGTCCATGTCTGTTCCCTCCACTAACCGGTTGTCCTTAAAGATTCCCTCATTTTTAGTTCCATCCAACTCGCCATCATGTTTACAGGAATAGAGTGTTCAGGTTGAAATGCAGTTTTTTTTTCTCATTTTCTGCCACAGATCTGAATGTAAACAGTTTAAACCAGATCTCCTTTCTCCACACGTTTGCCCTTCCCCCACGTCTCAATGCATTTATTAAAAGGAGGTTGTTTGGGGAGCGGGGTTTTAGGATTGGCTTTCTTCGTGCTACTCTTCCACAACGGTTGGTTCTGTGCTTCAATGTATACTAACTTGTTTCATGTTTCATTAGTGAAAGAGATTCTGTTTCTACAAATGATTTAATGCAAAATAACAGATGAAGTTTGTATTCACCTAGACAAAATGTTAGAAGGTATAACTGGGACTAATACTTTGCAAAGCACTGCACAGAGTAAACGCATAACTACAGGCTTATTGTATGGACTGTTGACTTGACTGCTTTTTTTGTTCGTTATTCCTTGCTGCACATACCCTTTTATACTCTTATAAATGATTATTTATTACAGTTGACTTAAATTAATAGTAAAGTGTCAAGGGGAAATGTATGCAAAGTGCACGCGTGCTATTTTCATCCAACCATTGCCTGTTTACTCAGCCTCATCCAACAGAACACCTCAGTGATGCATCATCACTTATCTCAGGACGTTACTGGTCAGCAGGACCCGTTATTCTTTCATCAGGGGAATACGACTCCAGCAGATCTTGCTTTTAAAGTTTTTGCAATACTCGCTGCCTTTCACATCAATAGTGTTGGCATGGATTAAACTAGATGTTTTATTATATTTTTTTCCATTGCACTCATGTTTTATAAAATTATTCAACTTTATAAAAAATGTATAGGTTCTGTACAAGTTTATGTCAATAGGCTGCATGCTATTTTTTACTTGCAGTATTTACTCAAATCCAGATTTTTGTGTCTAGTTATCAAATATTTACATTTAATCACATTCTTGGGTATTTTTTTACTAAATACAGATCCAAAAAAATTTTTTTTTTTTTTTTTTTTTTTTTTTTTGCTGCATTTAGTTATTCATTATTTAACAATTACCCTTTACAGTTATAAATAGACTTTTTTTTTTATATTGCAGTCATGGTCTTTCCGTTGTAGCTTTGATAATTAACATCTGCCTCACACAAAATAACCGATACCAGAGTTGACTGTTTTGTATAATGTAGCAGTCTCCAATCCACACAACACACTCTTAACTATAAGCTTTATTCACAGAAAAAAAAACAACTGCTTTACCATATTTGCATATTTCGGTCAATAATTGCACTGTTACACACAAGTTTACTTCTAAATGGTGTAAACAGTCTTGTTCTAATTAAAAACTTTGCCTTCCTTTCAAAGATCTCTCCAGCACAGTTGTGCTTGAAAGTTTACATACCCTCCCATTAAAGAGAATGGTACATTCACACTAGTAATTTAAATAACACAAGACTTAAATAAGTATTTACTTAAAAGTTAGTTATTGATGATTTAGTAAAATGAAATATTAATTGATTTTGATTACTAAAAAACATAACTGTTCATGAACAGTGAACCAACAGCTTTCAAAAGATGCAGATCCATTATTTATAATTTTTTTTCTTCATTATTACTTTTGTCAATTTAATTTACTGACAGCTGATTTTTATTTATTTGTTTCTGTCTTTGATGGAAGGGAATGTAAACTTTCCAGCACAGCTGTATATTCTGTCCATGCATTATTTCTCTTGTTTTCAGTATGTTTTTTTTTTTATGTATTTTGGACATGACAAAGAATGTAAAAAGATACACCAGGAGATTTTTTTATTATTATTATTATTATTATTATTTTTTGTAATCAGAAAAAGTTGATGAATATTATATAATATCTTGTAAATGTTTAAAAACCTAACCTTGTAAATACATGACAACCAAAGTCTTTTTTACTGATCATATGGTTCTCAGAATCACGGTAAAAATGACTGTTGTTTGTTTGTCCCTCAAGGTTGTATAGTATGTGTATCTTTGTTTTTAGTATTTAAAAAATATGATGATAAAAGGGGGGGAGAGAAACATTTTTGCATGATTAAATTAGACTGTGTGTTAAAGGTTTGCTGTATCGAGTTTAATTTATCGTTAGGGGAAATTCAAAGTTCAACTTAAGAAAGCAGCCATATATAAAAAAAAAAACTTTTAAAAATATTTATTTGATTTAATCATTTATGACTAGTTGAAACAAATTATATAAATCAGTTGCACACAGCATTAAGTCTTTTAAAGCTTTTTACTCTGTTAATTTTGTGATTACCAGTAACAAAAAATAACACATTTTTAATACTGAACCATGGGCTCAGTGGAACATATGTTTATTCACCTGCTTAAAGGCTATTTTAAAAAAGTACCTTTTTATTTATTGAGTCTCATAGGAACATGTATTCCAATTTATTTAACTCTACAATAATGTTCAGGATACGTAGTTTATAATGTATAGATTCTGTATATTTAATTAGTATATCATCAACGTGGATGGATTTGCCTGTTTGTAAGATTGTATATGTAATTTTAGCTGAAGAAAACTGTACTTGTGTCCGTTCCTCGTGGTAATGCTAAACTACACCCTCAGGGATATAGCTTTACTCATTTTTCATTCAGGTACTTCCATTTTCACCTTAAAATTTACAAGCAGGGATTTGGCTTTTATTTGTGGAAAAGTTTTTTATTTTAACCTCGGAATTGTTTTCTTAAAATACCAACATTAGCATTGGTTTGTTTGACAAGTTGGCTACGTAATTGAGTCGTTTTATCAGATTTGAATCATGAAACGGGAATGTCAGTATCTATATTTAGATATGTGCCTCGAAACATTAAAACTACTGAAATACTTGACTGTTAAGCAAACATAATTTCTGTTTTACAACATTTAAACTTAACTTATTGTCACTTTTTTGAACATCAGGCTTTTACCTACTAATCTGATGTTTTGTCCATGCACATTAGAGTGTACTAAAGCTTCAATAGATTTATTATTGTTTATATGATTGCACATATAGAGCCAACACAAATCTAAGACTATGTTGGAAACTGAAAACTTTTTATTTGTGTTTTTTTTTTTTTTCTTATTTAGAGGAAATAATATAATTTGTTGGGTTTTTTGTTTTGTCTTGTTGTCCAAAAGCAATCTGTAGTTCTGCTTTAGAAATGATACCAGTAGTGAGGGCATGTGTACTTGTATTTGATTTTATACTTGGGAGTGGCTAACAGACTCTTAAAATGTGATTTTAATTTATAAAAACTCATAACATATAATGTGATGTACGGAAATGCCCCATATGTACTTAACTATTGTGGAAAAAAATTGTATTTGATAATTATTTTAAACTGGGCTACCACTACTGTATTTTGCATGTATTGTTTTATGCATCCTGTATATTATGTCTTGCCTGTAACACATAAAAACATGTGATTGGTCAAGTTCACTGGATAAATTATTCAGTTTTATATTTGCTTATTCTTCTAATAAATAGGCAATATAAAAACATTTCAGTGTTTTTTTTCTTAATTTATTTACAAAGATCATTCTTCGTGTCATTACATGTTATTGCTAACCTGTCAAACAATAGTAATCCTTATTCTGTTTTCCTTCTTTCCATAGTGAGTCTCCAGACTTCCGTTCTGCGAAAGCCAAAGACCTGCAATCCACCTCCACATTGGAGCAGTTTATGGCCAAACTATGTCCCCACCACCAGAGACGGATAGTGGATGCAATAGGTTTTCTTCAAACGGAAGTCAAGGCTCATGCATCCTCTAATGTACAGAAAGCATTAGACTCTGTCCCTGGCATTCAAGGGAAATCTTCTCCTAATGCAATGTGTGGTAGCGCAACCCCAGAGAAGTCAAACTCTGAGCTAAAACTTCCTATTGCATCCACTCCTAAAGCTGAATTCCTGGAATTTCCTCATTTTGTCCCTAACAGCTGCGCACAGAACACCATTCCAGAGAATGCGGTTTCCCTGAAAACATCTATAACTGGTGGCCCTACTATGGATGTTTTCGACCTTGGTCTTGGGACTGACCGTGGTCTGACCAGTTTTACTGCCAATTCAGTGGATGGAGAGAACAACCGTCAGAGTGATCAGCCACCTGTTCGGATGAAGATCAAAACCAGCAGTGCTGCTGCTGGTAAGAGACTGTCATGTGTGCTTGATGCCACTCTTTCCTCTCCCTCTCATACTATTGAGGAGAAACAGGGTTTGTCCAGTAGAGCTGAGACACACAGTGCCAGATTAAGTTCCTCCGGGAAAAGACACAGTGAAAGAAGTGTTATTTCTCAAGGTAGTCAGAAAGAGGATATTGGGCATCAGAGAGATAAGCAAGCAAAAGTGTTTCCAATCCAAATGTCCTTCCCCTCAAATTCAGTTCGAACTGCAAGAAAAACTGTCAAGATGTCCTCTGAACATCAAATGAGGGAGGATGTTTGCAGGGAAACAGTTGATCCTGATATTGGCAACTGTGACATTGTTTTTATTGACAAGCCAATTACAGAGTGTTTAAAGGAAAGGCGGCGCAGCATGGCCCCCCGTCGTAATGCCAGGAAAAGCACTAGGGGGTCGATGTATTCTGATGACATCTGGGAGTTAAAAACAGTTCGCACATTGGCTGGAAGGGGTAATTGTCCAAACTTAATGCCAGAGCTGACTACACTGGTCACGCCAAAACAAATCCTGTCCAAACCTGAAGGTCTACCACCAGTTGATATGCCGTTTGCTGGTGCATGTACAGAGACGATTAATCAACACATGCCCTCAGAGATGCCGGATAAGCATGTCATTTCAGGAGTGGGAGATACTGTAGAGGTAGCTGCTAGTGTAGTAGATGCTGTGGAGGTTGAAATGAGTCAAACAGATCAAGGTCAGAATAAGGCCCAATCCTGTTCACCATCTCCACTGAACCCTCTAGTAGAGGGCCAGGAAACTCTTGCAGACACTATAGCAGATCCAGAGAGCATTAAAGATTTAGAGATGACAAAAGAAATTGAAGAAAGTGTTTGTCCATCTCTACATGAATCAACAGATGGCGAGTCTCAACAGGCTGTGTCTGACAATAAAGAAAACATGGCTACAGAAACACAAGTAGAATCATTAGAGAGTGAGAGTCTAATCAATGAGTCACAATTAGAACTCTCGAAGAGTCTTGCAACAGACACACAAGTAGAACCGTTTAAGAATCCAATAATGGAAACGCAAGTAGAACCGTTTAAGAAACCAATCACGGAAGTGCAAGTAGAACCATTAAAGAATCCAATCACGGAAACGCAAGTAGAACCGTTAAAGAATCCCATCACAGAAACACAAGTAGAACCTTTAGATAATCCCTTCACAGAAATGCAAGTAGAACCGTTAAAGAATCCCATCACAGAATCGCAAATAGAACCGTTAAGGAATCCCATCGCAGAAACGCAAGTAGAACCGTTAAGGAATCCCATCACAGAAACGCAAGTAGAACCGTTAAGGAATCCCATCACAGAAATGCAAGTAGAACCATCTAAGAATCCCATCACGGAAACTCAAGTAGAACCGTTAAAGAGTCTTATCCGAGAGAAAGCTGAGCACCCCCTCCTATCAGATAAATGTCTTAACTCTGAGGAGCAGAACCGTATTGGTACTGTAAATTCAGATGAAGATGAGGTGGAAGAAGTTGACAAACTGCTTGAGGAGCAAAGTCAGGAGAATCAACAAGAGATCAAGTTGCGTTTTGATAATGTGAAGGTCCCAGAAAAGTCAGTTTCCAAAGAAACTACAGAGGAACTGACTATAAAAGAGACGGAAACTGAACCTATAGAAGTCAATAACGCTGTTGAACCTGTAGAGAGAAAAATTTATGAGGCTGAATGTGATGAGCCGGCAAAGCCAGTTGTTGGGCTGCCAAAGGAGGTGTCACCTTGTCGTAGGAAAAAAGACACTAAAGCCCAGGTGCCAGATCTTCTGGGACAAATAGAACCAGTCATAGTTGGCTTTGTCAATGGTAAACCAGTTTCACCCTCAGACAGGAGTCTGCGCAGCAGAGCTGACAGGAACCCCACATTGTCAAGTAAAACTCAGGTAAAATATCAGGATGTGCCCACCTTTAATATTTTAGACCCTAAACCTTCCTCAACTGCTGAAAACCTAAAAACAGACAAACCTTCTGAAGCAAAAAGTCCTTTGACATTAGAGACTCCTGTTACTGAACCATCTTCTGAACCACCAACTTTAAGCCCACCATCAAAATTACCTTCATCATTAAAAGAAACCCAGAAACAAAAGAGTACCCCTAGAAGTCAGATTAAGACACCATTGCCTTCTGACCCTTCTGTAGATCACACAAATAGTATGACATCCAAACGGCAACTTAGATCAGCCACTCAAAAGACGGTAGCTCCCATTTCAAATGTTGTCACCTCAATTTCCTCACCAAAGCCTTCAACCCTTATTCTTCCACCTGCAGAACAGCTACCTTCCCTCCTCCTCCCCCCATTTCCATTACCTGTCACCACGTCCTGTGACAGTAGGCATTCTGATCGCTCAATTTCTGAATGCTCTGAACAACAGGAACTCTCAGAGACTGTGCAAGTAAGCACTGAAAATACACATCAAAATAAAGCACTCTCTGAAGACACCGAAAAGAACAAACTAGTAAGTGAATTGGAAACCAAACAAACATTGAGATCAGGTAAGGTTGTATCACATAAAAATGAAAACAGCACACAGCATTTTCATACTGAGGAACCAAATTCTTTAGAAAATCCATCTGCAATTAAGACTGAAAATCTGACAGAACCTGTACTGACAAGAAGTAAGCGTGGGTTTCGAAATAGCCCAGATTTAGGGGAATCTGCTTTAATCCAAAAGAAGAATTTAGCTCCTGTGGAGGACAGGATAGCAATAGAACCGGGTAAGGATGCTTATACACCAGAAAAACCCACAAGAATGCCTTTAAGGAGTGAGACCGGTAAGACTGAAATGTCTAACCAGTCTATTGCTCAGTCACCACTAGGAGATGACAAGAAATTAGCCTTGAGATCACAGAAATCCCTCAACCATTCTACCAGTGCTGCTGACACAGCGAAACAAAATTACGTATTCTCCCCCGTTCAAATCATTGCAGAAAGAATACCTAAGGCCCATCTTAAACCCCGATCAGACACGGCCACACCTTTGACCCAAAACTCGCAAGTCCCTATCATTACTCCAAAACAAGAACCACCTAAACAAACTGTCAATAAATTCTTTCAGGCCCTCAATGGTGAAGAAAAACAACACTTGATTACAAACCTAAATTCAAGATATGATAGGATGTTAAAGGGTTGGGTACAGCTGGACAAAGAGGGTCAGCCAGCAGTAAAACACAAAAACAAATCAGATAGGCAGGCAGCTATCTGGAAAAGTAAAAGAAGGGCACGGAAACCAAAGTCCTCAGAGCAGCAGAAATACTCACCGGTCCAAATGCTTTTTATGAAAGGTTTTAGTCTCACCAACATTTGTCGCTGGTTCCTGGATTCAACAGAGACCAAATCTCTTGTTATCGTTAAGAAGGTGAACACACGTCTTCCGTCAGAAACTCAGCTGTGCTTTCACAGCTCGTCCACAGTGTCAGGGCCTTCACAGGGAGTGTTTCCAAGCCTGCAGGCGGAACGCTTAAAGAAACATTTAAAAAAGTTTCCCATCGCTTCTCCTGTAAAAAGCAATCCCAAAAACCAGAAGCTTATTACTAAAACCCTCGAACAAGAGGTAAACACAGTCAAACTGAAGGAGAGGGCCGAACTCCCTGGCAGTACTCAAAATGTAAGCAAATACTCGGCTGCAAAAGCCAGTGCACAAAAAGGTGAATCCCAAAAAAACCCAGGGAAATCTAAGAATCCAGCTAGTGCTAGAATCTTGAGAAAATACTCCAATATCCGAGGGAAGATGCAAGGTCAGCAAACCACTGTTAGAATGAAAAGGGGCTCAAAAATGCTTGAAAAGAAGAAGAGCAAATCATTGACTGCTACTAAATCAGCTACCAAGTCAAATCGAAACTCATCGTTGAAGGTAAAGAAATCTACTGTATCTGTTTGCAAAAAAATGAAAGGGTCCGCAGCAAAACTGGCAAGGAGAAAGATTTTGGCTGAGAGGAAAGTAACAAAGCCCTGTGTCTCAAAGCAGGCAGTGAGGGCACAAGCTGGCAAAGCTAAAGATAAAAGTAAAGTACAACTACCAAAGAGATGTTCGCAACGACTTGGGTCTCCTAAAGTACCTGAGGACCAGCCTGTGGAGACATCAAAGAGCAAGTTGAGCAACAGAAAACAGAATGAAGAAAAAACAGAATGTGAAGTAAATAAAAGTCAAACTAAGGAATCCGTTCGAAGCCCCTTAGCAGAAAGCAAAGGTAAAGAGACTGCTACTGAAACGCCCGAGCAGGGCATAAATGTGAAGGCTTCAGGCTCCCCAGACCAGGTACAAACGAGATCCCAGAGAAAAATGGAAGCAGTGACCCCTCTGAGTGGGAGTCCCAGCAATCCTTCAAAGAGGGCCAAGAAGGCATCACAAGCGGCTGCCAGTACAGTGGATGAACCCAAACTGACAAGAAGTGGAGCTCTAAAGAGGAGTCGGGCATCCTTACTGCCACGTAGTGGAGCTAAGGCAGCCACCAAGAGAGCTCAGGAACTTCTAGAGACCCCTCCAAAGCGCACCAGGACAAAATAATAAACTCTTTGAAGATGGATTCTTTATCTAGAGGAATTATGTTGATTTTATTTTATTAGGACCAAAAATATATATTTTGTAATTGCCCCAAACTCTGGATAATTATTCCTGCAGAACCAGGATTTCTATATTTGTTCTTGCTTTTGTAAAGTTTGATGGTGCAAACCTGATGCTGTAATGCTTTGGCTTATTTTACTGTCTGTGTTCAGGCAGCAGAAAAAGTCCTGCTATAGATGTCTGACGGCTGTAGTTGCTTTATGTTTCTGCACTCGACAAAAATGGCTGGAGATCACAAATGCCTGTCGAACCTCCATTTTTAGAAGTTTAGATGATCAACCTTTCAAACATATACATTCTTATGTTCTGAATTTAATTTTTGTATATATATATATATATATAAATATATAGTTTTAGATTATTGCACGCTCTGCATTAAATTACTGAGGAATGGAGGAGGGAGCTTTGAATCAAAGTGTTACGTGCAGTGGGTTAGCAGTTTGTATCTCCAGCCAGTCTTCCAATCACAAAATTGTGAAAACGTGACATTGTGAACCAGGTGCCTTATTTATATCTATTTTATGAGTGTGTTGCTGTGAAAACTTATTTTCCTGAAGATGCAGTTGACATTCATCTGCTTCATTGAGCAATTAGGATCTGTTTTCCCTCTGCATGTCATGCACCTCCTGCTTGCTCTTCTCATCGGGTTTTGGGACTCATCTGGGTGGTTAATTTTAATTTTTTTTTATTTTCCTCAGCATTAACAGAACATTTTAATTATAGCTTCATTTTTTGTTTAGATTTGCATTGTTTATTCAAAGAAAAAGGGGTGCTCTTTGTGTCATGAAAAGTTTCTAATGAATTGTTTGTGGTCATTTGTCATTGCTGTGTGCCTCTTGTTAATGAGGAGGCAGTTTCAGAATATCAATCAAAGCAGATTTTTAACATCAAATTGCTGATTCTACTGCATTATGTCCCAGAAGGGAAAAACTATTTTGAAAAGTACTTTATCTTCTTTTAACAATAGAAACCAAGAGTACTTTATACTGTCTTGGTTTTTATTTGAGTGGTAACTATATCTCAAGCATTTTGTTTTGTTTTCTTCCCTCTCATTGTTAGGTGAGTTATAATGTGAAGCCTGCTTACATTTACAGTTACTACATGATTTTGTTAATGGCAAAGCATTTTAGGACAGTGTTATTTCCCTTTTGTTTATTTCCTTTGAATTTTTTTAACAGGCTGAGTTTCTTGAAGAGGATAAATCATCTGTAAATGCAAAACTGGTCCACTATGTTTTTATCGATATTTAAGAACTTCATATAGGTCATAGAATTTAGAAAACCTATTTCAACCCACCAAATATCAGACTTGAATCTGTTTATTCTTTGCAGTTGCTATTTAAATATTTGGGTTTTTGTATATTGAAAAGAAATACCTGTTTTATTTGTGGTAATTCCAAGAAAGACACATCTTTATGTTAAGAAATTTGTATTTTTCTGGAGTTGATATAAAGATGTTTAAATTCAATGCTTTTTGTCTATTTTATTTGTAGGCAATTATTTATATTTGTTTCTCAGACAGAAACACAACATTGCAAAAGATTGTTCATTTTCTCATGTATTTACTGGAGTACTGCATGTGTTCTTAAATTGTCTAAGGAATTTCATCTTTAAATGAGCTTGGTTGGACATTCATGTTCTGCCTCCTCTATAAATATGTGTACCTGTGGTGGTAAATTTGCCAGCTCTTCTTAATAGAGGGTCCTACCATACGGCTTATCAGGACCACAGGAAGTACCCACTGCGAGGCAGATTGGGGAACATTTGGTCTGTCATTCAGCCATGCAGCAACAGAATGATGAAATTCTTCCCATATTTACCCTGAAAAATTAATGGTGGTTATTTTATTCACCAAATGAAATATGCAGGAAAGTAAGGCAAACATTCTTAGGCACTTCAAAAAACTCAAGACTTAAATGCTCCATTTACTCCCACAATTAGCATCTCATTGGACCCAAGTCTAAGTCCCTTTCTTGGACACCAGATGTCACCAATGTCTTCTGTTTTGCGTTTGTGTGGAGCATTATGGAGTAGGGATATAAGTATTTGATATCATTTTATTTGGGGAATTTTGCTGATTTCCAAAGAAATTAAGTTTGTTAATCCTATGGGTGTTCTAATTTTAAGAGTGACAGATTTAATAAAACGTCTAGAAAAACATCTAAAACATATTTTTATGCAGAAAACTAGGAAAATTTCTTCTAAACCAGTCTCTTCATCATCACAAGAGGACCAAAGAATTCTCTGAGGTCACCTAGAAAAGCGAGCATCTCATGGTTTTAAAGTAAGTGGGATAGTTACATCTATAGAAGAATAGATTAATCGGAGGCTTCTGTCAACTTCAAAAGAATTAATTTCTATTTACTCTTCCCACTTCAGTTCAAATGTCCTATTTCATCTCAAGATTTTTTTTATTTTTTAGAATTGTATATAGATTTTGTTTGTAGCCATAACAATCATATATCTGATTAAATATAGAAATGCAAGTTTAACCACCATTAACACATGATCGGCATATACACTACCGTTCAAAAGTTTGGGGTCACATTGCAATGTTATTATTTTTGAAGGAAAAGCACTGTACTTTTCAATGAAGATAACTTTAAACTAGTCTTAATTTTAAAGAAGTAGACTTTATATTTCTAATGTGGTAAATGACTATTCTAGCTGCAAATGTCTGTTTTTTGGTGCAATATCTACAGAGGTGTATAGAGGCCCATTTCCAGCAACTATCACTCCAGTGTCCTAATGGTACAATGTGTTTGCTCATTGGCTCAGAAGGCTAATTGATGATTAGAAAACCCTTGTGCAATCATGTTCACACATCTGAAAATGGTTTAGCTCGTTACAGAAGCTACAAAACTGACCTTCCTTTGAGCAGATTGAGTTTCTGGAGCATCACATTTGTGGGGTCAATTAAATGCTCAAAATGGCCAGAAAAAGAGAACTTTCATCTGAAACTTTACAGTCTATTCTTGTTCTTAGAAATGAAGGCTATTCCATGTGAGAAATTGCTAAGAAATTGAAGAATTCCTACAATGGTGTGTACTGGGGAGGCCGTGTTGCACAACTGAGCAAGAAGATAAGTACATTAGAGTCTCTAGTTTGAGAAACAAACGCCTCACAGGTCCCCAACTGGCATCTTCATTAAATAGTACCCGCAAAATATCAGTGTCAACATCTACAGTGTAGAGGCGCCTGCGGGATTCAGGGCAGAGTGGCAAAGAAAAAGCCATATCTGAGACTGGCCAATAAAAGAAAAAGATTAAGATGGGCAAAAGAACACAGACATTGGACAGAGGAAGCCAAGTTTGAGGTCTTTGGATCACAAAGAAGAATGTTTGTGAGACGCAGAACAAATGAAAAGATGCTGGAAGAATGCCTGATGCCATCTGTTAAGCATGGTGGAGGTAATGTGATGATCTGGGGTTGCTTTGGTGCGGGTAAGGTGGGAGATTTGTACAGGGTAAAAGGGATTCTGAATAAGGAAGGCTATCACTCCATTTTGCAACACCATGCCATACCCAGTGGAGAGTGCTTGATTGGAGCCAATTTCATTCTACAACAGGACAATGACCCTAAACACACCTCCAAATTGTGCAAGAACTATTTAGAGCAGAAGCAGGCAGCTGGTATTCTATCGGTAATGGAGTGGCCAGCGCAGTCACCAGATCTGAACCCCATTGAGCTGTCTCAATGCACACATGGTTCCCCACCTACCTTTGCATAGAATGTGAAAATGTAGGGATGCTTTTTTAGAGACATAACATGGTCCTAGAATAAATTAGCTCAGTGTATGTATATAGTTAAAATTCACAGGAAACCGTATTTCAGGTAACCTTATCACACAAATTTATCCACGATATACAGTCATATTCAGTTCTTTGGAATGTTATTGAAAAGTAAGTTTCAGCATCATATCAGAAAAGGAAATGGGTCTAAGTGGCCAGTCGGTTTCTGAGCCAACGTATATCATCATAATACATTTATTTTGTATTATGTCATCAGCACAGGGACCATAACAGTTCTGCCCCCTGTTCGCCGCTATTTTGATGACATCTTCATTAGAGCTTTCCTCAAAGTAAGAGACATCTGACTCGATATACTGGGGTACATAGAAAAATGACAGACCTTACTTTTATGTGTAATTTGCAATTTTTTAACCAATCTGTAGTGCTCATATTCTGCATACACATCGTAGCCTTAGGGTTATAATGACTAAGCTTCACTAAAACCCAAATTAAAAAGCAGCTAAATTGAACTTGAATCCTCGATACTAGAACTACATGTACATCTTGACGATAACCGACAAACTACTTTGTCTAATAGTCGTAGCTATTTCCTGGATTTGGAACTAGCCCAAGTTTCATCTCCGGGGTAGAACTTTGGCTTGATGGTTTTCCCCTTTCGGAAAATGTAACTAGAAAAATATGCAATTTTAATAACAAGGGTACTCGTATGTTCAGCAAATTTTCCCTTAAATTGTGGCCTATAGATAAAACTCGCACAAGATCTGGATCATTACCTGATTTAAAATAATTGTTTCTTGGCATGAGGCTTACCTCTAGTAAAACAAAATCCATAAAATCAGTTCATAAGTTTTCAATTGATCCTGCTAGCAAACCAAGAACGTTCACTTTTCTTGTGTTTTTTGTCTTTAGTAAAAACACCTCAATGCTTTTTGAGCCTGATGCTGAGGCTGTCAATAGTCACTGCTGCCGCCCTCTGGTTTAGTGGTGAACTTCTTGATCCGCCAAATATCGCTATCTCACAGTGTTAGAAAATCTTTTAAGAAAATGCTGTATCCAGATAATATCTGGACCAAACCCTTAGCAAAAAGTATTTTATTCAAGTATACTAAAAGTGCACTAATTTCATACTTAAAATCAGGCAGTGCACTTAGAGTTTATTTATTCTAAACTATATTTCATATACTTAACAATAGTATAATCAAGTGTACTTGACTTACACTGAGAAGTATAAAAAGTGTTTACTAAAGTATACTTTAAGTATACTTTAGTAAACTTAAAAATGTCCCGATTTAGTATACTTCAAATATACTACTTTTTGCCAAGGGAAATGTAATGGATTATTTCTTGGCACGAGGGACACCTCTGATAAAAAATGTAATTAAAATCTGTCCATAACTTTTCAAGTTATCCTGTAGACAGACAGACAGACACAAACTCTGCTAAAAACATACATTCCTTGGCATAGATACTAATTTTCAGTCAGGGTTCAGAAGTGGCCATAGCAGTTTAATTCAGTTTATTTATATGGCACCAATTCGCAACACATGTCATCTCAAGGCACTTTACAAAGTCAATTCAACCAGATCATACAGTCAGATTGTTTCAAAGTTTTCTACCAAAAGAAAACCAGCTGATGGCATCAACTCGTTGACTCGAAAGCAATCCCTCACACCAAGCATAACATGAACAAACTTCCACCAGAAGCCGCCTCAGTGTGAGCGACCATCTGCTGAGACCGACTGGGGTTCAAGGAGACAGAAGCAGACATAAAGAATCATAGATTGTAACAAAGATAGTAACTGTCAACCAGTTACACAGGCAGCCCTGTCCAGGAAACACAGCAAGGCAGACAAGCTCCGAGCCAGCTCCCCCAGAGGATCTTCATTAATGAATTTAAAACCACTGTAGAAAATGTTATGATGGAGACATGTTCTTATTTTTCTTAAGGATCTCGTTTTTTTTTTGTTTGTTTTTTTTTAAAGATATTTGCTACTTCTTTTATCATGAAAATGTAACTTGATGTTTATTTTGATGTTTATTATGTATGCAATTGCTAAAATCTGGCTGCTACCTTGTAATAAAAATGCAAGATATATACAACAGAAAATAAACAAAATCTTCACAAACTGCTGTTTTCCCTGCCTGATGAGGAAAGTTCATCTGTAATCTGGCTTGTCTCACTTTCACTAGAAAATAAATGTTGAATGTGCACTTTGGGTCTAAAGTCCAACCCCTGCTTGAGGTAAAAACTAAACAGAAAAAGGTAGGACTCTCATGCAAACAGCCACACTCCCTGTCCTGTACAATGTCTTCATGATAAATATGCTTTTGAAAAATTGTGGCTTTAAAAAACATCTAAGCATAGTTATAACTTAAGCCATAACTGAGAACTTTACCTAATTTGATTTCATGGAAAACATGAAGTATTCTAGACTCTAGATTTCTCATGGAGAGACAAAAACATAACCGTAAAGAGGGCACAATCCACCTCTTTTTCTAAACATATTTTTTTGTTTGTTTGTTGTTGTTTTAAAGGTTTTCCTATCCAATATTTTAACCTATGAAGAATCTCTGCGAAGAGAAGGTGCTTTAAAGACTCCTGGATCACATGATCCCACAGCAATTTCCTGTAATTGTCTCTGCACTGTAGGGGGACAAAGTAGTGGCGTCCACAGTGGAGCAGAGGTCACAACAGTCTGGTTAGTAAATCAGTGAA